GAGGCAAGATCGTTGCTGCGTAAAGATAACCTTTTCTCGGAGGAGACTCTCTTAATGTCAAGTATATACATTCTTGCGATTAACGTCAAGGTACATTCACGAATATTCGAACATTATTTCATAATTGATCCTGTACGCCGGGAGTGTTTCATTTCGCAAAACAGATCACAGTGTGTGTAAGAAATTGTTTTACCTTCGAACAGATATATGATTACCGTTCTGTTTCGTTTTGTTAAAATTGCAAGAAAAACCTCTCTCAGCTGAAGATGCGATTTAAGACATATACTTTCTTTACGGCTTTTGTGTTGGCTTTTACGGCAGGGTTAAACGTGAAAGCTCCTTGTGCCGTGATCTCCTGTGTCACTGCTAATGCGGCACGGATCGATCACTCTCGCTGCCTCAGTGAAATATCCACAGTCTTGTACCTATTACCCGCGCCTGCTTACCGCTTCTCAGTGGCGGGCTGAACAAGTAAATCTGTCACTTCGACAAATCATTGTCTGAAAGGTCGGTAGCAGATGCTGCAACAGAGGCTGGCGTTAATATGGTGCGCTATAATCCTGCTTTAAGGGGCCTGTAGTACTGGTGGGGCATGTGTGTTAGTGCGTGGAGCGGACGTGTAGCGCTTAGCAGCAAAGAAGCTTCGGTGTGATAGGTCAACGAATGGGTTTAATCTGTGAAATGTCCTTAACAAGCCGGCAACCTCAACTGGACTTAATTACCTCTGAGCAGCATCCAACATTGTCAGAAGAAATGATCATCCAGACATCAAGGAAGCGCATTTCTATATTTATGTGCAGGTGTCGTGTGTGTTCTGTATTGTACAGGTGTCGTGTGTGTACTGTATTGTACAGGTGTCGTGTGTGTACTGTATTGTACAGGTGTCGTGTGTGTACTGTATTGTACAGGTGTCGTGTGTGTGTACTGTATTGTACAGGTGTCGTGTGTGTACTGTATTGTACAGGTGTCGTGTGTGTACTGTATTGTACAGGTGTCGTGTGTGTACTGTATTGTACAGGTGTCGTGTGTGTACTGTATTGTACAGGTGTCGTGTGTGTGTACTGTATTGTACAGGTGTCGTGTGTGTACTGTATTGTACAGGTGTCTACGGGAGAGTGCGTGTGTCTGGTAGAGGTTGTGTGTCGGTAGTGTGAGAGTGCGTCTCTTAGTGTGTGTCTACTAAATTAGAGCCTTCTCCTGTGGAGTACATTTGTCATCTGGTGTCTGTGTGTCTTCAGTGGTGTGCGTGTGTTTAATAGAGGTCGTATGTGTTGACTAGGGCGTGCGTTGCCTACGACAGCGCAGTAAGTGTGTCTGCTGTAAATATGTTGTGTGTGTCATGAGGTGGGTAGGTTTACTGGAGACTGATATCTTATCCCAGGCTACATGTGTGTTTACTGTTTGGTTCGTGTATCAACTGTTGGGTTAGTGTATCATGCAACTATTGGTTTCGTGTATCAACTATTGGATTCGTGTATCAACTATTGGATTCGTGTATCAACTATTGGGTTCGTGTATCAACTAATGGGTGCGTGTTTGGCTAAAGAAGCGCGTGTCACCTAAAGGGTGTGTGTGCCTTCATGTGGTGGTGTGTGTGTCTTCATATGGTGGTGTGTGTGTCTTCATAATTATGGTGGTGTGTGTGTCTTCATATGGTGGTGTGTGTCTACATATGGTGGTGTGTGTGTCTACCTTATGGTGGTGTGTGTGTCTACCTTATGGTGGTGGTGTGTGTGTGTACCATATGGTGGTGTGTGTTTCTACCTTATAGTGGTGTGTGAATCTACCTTATGGTGTGTCTGTGTGTCTTCAAATAGTGGTGTGTGTGTCTACCTCATGGTAGTGTGTGTATCTTCATATGGTGGTGTGTGTGTCTAACTTATGGTGGTGTGTGTGTCTACCATATAGTGGTGTGTGTCTTCATATGGTGGTGTGTGTGTCTACCATATGGTGGTGTGTGTGTGTCTTCATATGGTGGTGTGTGTGTCTACCATGTGGCGGCGTGTGTCTTCATATGGTGGTGTGTGTTTATACCTTATGGTGGTGTGTGTGTCTTCATATGGTGGTGTGTGTGTCTTCATATGGTGGTGTGTGTGTCTTCATATGGTGGTGTGTGTGTGTCTTCATATGGTGGTGCGTGTGTCTACCTTATGGTTGTGTGTGTCTTCATATGGTTGTGTGCGTGTTTTCAAGTGGTGGTGTGTGTGTGTCTTCATATGGTGGTGCGTGTGTCTACCTTATGGTTATGTGTGTCTTCATATGGCGGTGTGTGTGTCTTCATATGGTGGTGTGTGTCTCCATATGGTGGTATGTGTTTCTTCATTATTATGGTGGTGTGTGTCCTCATATGGTGGCGTGTATGTCTTCATATGGTGGTGTGTGGATCTTCATATGGTGATGTGTGTCTTCATATGGTGGTGTGTGTGTCTTCCTATGGTGGTGTGTGTATCTTCATATGGTGGTGTGTGTGTCTTCCTATGGTGGTGTGTGTGTCTACCTTATGGTGATGAGTGTGTGTTTACCACATGCTGGTGTGTGTGTCTTGATATGGTGGTGTGTGTGACTACCTGATGGTCTTGTGTGTCTTCATAGGTGGTGTGTGCTTCTTCATGTGGTGGTGTGTGTGTTTTAATATGGTGGTGTGTGTGTTTTCATATGGTCATGTGTGTGTCTTCATGTGCTGGTGTGTGTGTCTTCATATGGTGGTGTGGGTATCTTCATATGGTGGTGTGTGTGGATACCTTATGATGGTGTGTGTCTACCATATGGTGGTGTGTGTGTGTCTACCATATGGTGGTGTGTGTGTCTACGTTATGATGGTGTGTGTCTAGCATATGGTGGTGTGTGTGTCTATCATGTGTGTATACCATATAGTGATGTGTCAAGTAGAAGGTCACGTTGGGGTTAGGATGTGTCCACGGGAACCTATGCTTAAGCGCAAGAGGAAAGAAGAGACTTAACTGGGTGATATCCCACTGCCTTTGGCCTGTAAAACCCACCATACTCACAGCTCCTTTGAACGGTCGCAGCTCAATTGTGCGTTGCTTTACTCTGTTATCACATGCTTTTGTCAATAAGCAAAACTATTGACTTCAAGAAATATATTGTAATAAACCTTAATCCACAACTACCATTGCTTAAGGACATATTTATGTCGTTATAGGTCCATGTCTCACCCTTCTGGCGACTTGTGTCTGCATGCAATATACCCGCTTATCGACATGGCGATTCAATAAGGGCAAGCGAGGATTGCATTTTATATACTTTTGAAGAACATTCTAGTATTTTCTGTTCATCTGTATTCCCAGAGATACAGACTAATATGGAAACTATGAATATCCCGCCAGATAAACTAATTATTAAATCCAATACACGTGTTCTACAGGATTAGGCACAGGCCTACACAATATTAGCTCTCGAGTAGAATTTCTTTTTTTCTGCCCGACTTAGTCCGCAATCGAGTCATCCCAATCTATTTGGTGAAGACTCCGCAGGAGAGCCAGTGATTAATGGCGGGCGTCATTTGATTGCCATAAGGGGGAAGTAATCAAACTAAGCCGTGCACAGATATAGTTTGAGCTTTTCCAATAGTAGTGACAATCTTATAACGGTAAATTGCGCAGTGCTTGTCTTGAGGCTATTAGGTTTATGGCTACAACTGCAGTGATATTCTGTAAGAAGTAAATGATTAGGTTTTGTCGTTATGACCAAACAGGTGTGAGAGCTCCTCACCGCGTCTGCACTTAGAAGCAGCAGGGACAGAGAGGAAACCAAGCACATACCAAAAAGGACGACATCCAAGAGAAGCTTCATTTTTCAGCTTAGGTATTTAATTTCGAACAGTAGCTGAAGACTCTGAAAATGTGAATATGTCGATGAGATGCAGCTGAAGTAATCTGTTCTACAAATACTAAATAGCATGTGTACACGATAAGGTGAACTGTGGTGCTCCTTGAAGATTAGTGCCTGTGTACTGTCACGTGCATGCATAGTGTTCTAGCTCTGAAACATGACTGGTTTATAGTTTCCACATTTCAAAGATAAAAATATATGCACCATTTAGGCACAATATACCGACTCTGAGACGACTTGTCATTATTCAGCCCCCTTTACGTCACATGTAACAACAAGTACCATCCTTTAATGTGGTCTGGAATGACGGGGATCGAACCACCACCTTTCCGCTCTCCTGGCTGATCCTCTATCATTTTGATCAGGGAGGCCGTAACATCCATACAGATTAAAATACAAATTCCTAGGCAAGCAAATCTGACAATGTTTTCGCAGTGCGGAGATTGGTTTGAGGGTTTGCTTTTCCTTTGTATGCAGTACGTTTACTGCTCCATAAAAGCCCCAACAAAACACCACAGATGGTACATGAGCAAATAACAAAATGACACGTGAGTACATTTGCCTGATCGTTTTTCGGTGTTCCGCTGAAATATTGCTGGGTTATTGCTAACAGAGGCGAAAAACAATATTCACTCATTGTTGTGACACTGTCTAGACATATCAAACACATCTACATTAATGCACCGATAACAATCATTAAACCAACACTGTGATCTAAACCACTTGATAACAGCACGGCGAACTTTGTAAAAGAAAATGTCAGAAACTGATCACAGCGCCGAGAGTTTCTGGACAAATGTGTTTCCTGTATTAAGTTGTGACGTGTTACTGTAATCCCAAATACACTTTCTAAACTAAGATAATGATCATTATACCAGTACGGTGATAATAATCAAGTCAGCCCTGTGGTTATAAGATGATATCAATACTATGCTACTAATCAGGGTGTGACCCACTAAACCTGCCACAGTCTCCCCCTCCACCTGTACTATAACTTCATCTTACATCGACGTCATCAAGTGGGCTCAGGTTTTCGTTAATCAACCTCTTTTTTTCAAGGCTTTGCACGACATCCAATGAGGAAGGAATATACTGGAGATGTTTTTGCATCACAAAAATACATGTAACACTTGCGTCTCTATTTTCAGGAAATGAAACTGGTTCCAGTGCTTGATCCGCATCCCAGATCACGTGTCACAACGTTCTACCAATGGCAGGCGTCAGAACATTGACCAGTGAAACCAGTGCTAGTGAAACAAGGCTCAATAATTCTTCGCCTGCCCCGTGAATCTGTTTACCCAAGTCCGTTCACCATCCTCGAGGCCAACCGACCCCACGACCACACAGTCTGTTCTGATCCACTGACATGATGTTGTAAAATCACTGCGACTGCTCTTTTGTATTAAAACATCACGTGACCGGATGTGGTCCAAATTTTGTTGAACGCTTGTAAGTCTCTATGGCCTAACAACTAAGTTGTCTCATTGTGACACATGATATTTATATGACTGATTTATAATCACCCGATGCCAAGGTAGACATACATGTATGTAAACAAGACTTGATAAATCGAAGACCATTGATTAACCTACTGTCGGGCATTCGTATAACAGCTATGGTGTTTGTACTGAAGTAGGAAGTTAGCTTTGCTCTAACAACTGTCCATCCCCGGGTATCTGTATCACCGCGACCTCTGTCTGGTTTAAAGATGATTATATTAGAATATCTTGCAAAACATGTCACTATTTTCTAAAGCTATAAATAAATTACTGTTTGCATGTTTAGTTTGTTTTTCAAATTGTTAATGAACTACGTAAATACGTTAATGATATCACACAAAGACAAATTATGTAATACAGAATATCAGTTTGGTTCTCCGTGGCTGGGGCTTGAGACCATCCCGATCCTCAGCCCCACCCGTCCATACCACAGCCACACCACCCAACCACCATAGACTAACACTGACACCAGTAACAGCTAACACTTGTCATCCATATTTGTAATCCATTTTTATTTCAAGTCATCGGTTAGCAATTCATTATTGTGAATACAGCTCCACAGCTCTACAGCTCAACAGCTCCCGGTCATGCTGACCCTATGGTTATGAGAGACACCGTCACACCGTATAAATAAAATGAAGGACAGGTAAACTGAACGTCTGAATTATGTTTTCATTTCATCCCCAAACAGTGCACGAACTACTGCGCCTAGTAATGGGGCATTCTGAGTGCGGATTATACAGTCACTTGGCTCTAATACAAAGATAGCTCTAATGCAAAACGCTTAATGAGGAATTCTAGTAGAGTCATTCGTGTAAACATGTATTTTGATTTTCTGCCCTTTCACATAGAACCATACCTGTAGAAGGGACATTTACTGGCTCTAGGTATTGTAGAAATCCACATGCCGTATCTGTAACAAGGAAGCAGTGCACAACATTACACATAATACAACTGTTACAAGGATGTAAAACAAAGTTATACATATAGTTCCTTTATATATACGTATATTAATACATGTATTCCATATGGGGAAATATGACCTTGTATTGCATATTATACCGCTACTATTGGGAAATAGTTATTATACCAGGGCTGTTATGAGCAAGACATATACATCGAACAGCTGTTAAAAGAAAAGAAATGCACATATACTTATTAAAACAAGTAGCTCAGTTGTACAAGAAAAAATACATCTTATACAGGTGTTATGAGGATATAATACACATGAAGTAATACATGTTGTACAGTTGCTTCAAGGGAGGTTATACAAAGTAATACATGTTGTACAGCTGCTTCAAGGGAGGTTATACAAAGTAATACATGCTGTACAGCTGCTTCAAGGGAAGTTACATACAATAATAAATGCTGTACAGCTGTTACAAGGAAGTAAAACAAAGTAATACATGTTGTACAACTGCTTCAAGGGAAGATATATAAACTAATAAATGGTGTACAGCTGTTACAAGGAAGTAATACAAAGTAATACATGTTGTACAGCTGCTTCAAGGGAAGATATATAAACTAATAAATAGTGTACAGCTGTTACAAGGAAGTAATACAAAGTAATACATGTTGTACAGCTGCTTCAAGGGAAGATATATAAACTAATAAATGCTGTACAGCTGTTACAAGGAAGTAATACAAAGTAATACATGTTGTACAGCTGCTTCAAGGGAAGATATATAAACTAATAAATGCTGTACAGCTGTTACAAGGAAGTAATACAAAGTAATACATGTTGTACAGCTGCTTCAAGAAGTAATACAAAGTAACATGTTATATAAAAACATATAGCTAATAAATGGTGTACAGCTGTTACAAGGAAGTAATACAAAGTAATACATGTTGTACAGCTGCTTCAAGGGAAGCTATATAAACTAATAAATGCTGTACAGCTGTTACAAGGAAGTAACAAAGTAATACAAAGTAATACTAATAAATGCTGTACAGCTGTTACTTCAAGGGCTTCAGTTATATAAACTAATAAATGTTGTACAGCTGTTACAAGGAAGTAATACAAAGGGTAAGTAATACATGTTGTACAGCTGCTTCAAGGGAAGTTATATAAACTAATAAATGTTGTACAGCTGTTACAAGGAAGTAATACAAAGTAATACATGTTGTACAGCTGCTTCAAGGGAAGTTATATAAACTAATAAATGTTGTACAGCTGTTACAAGGAAGTAATACAAAGTAATACATGTTGTACAGCTGCTTCAAGGGAAGTTATATAAACTAATAAATGTTGTACAGCTTACAAGTTACAAGGAAGTAACAGCTGTTACAAGTAAGTAATAACAGCTGCTTCAAGGTAATACATGTTGTACAGCAGCTGCTTCAAGGGAAGATACTAATGCTGCTAATAAATGGTGTACAGCTGTTACAAGGAAGTAATACAAAGTAATACATGTTGTACAGCTGCTTCAAGGGAAGTTATATAAACTAATAAATGTTGTACAGCTGTTACAAGGAAGTAATACAAAGTAATACATGTTGTACAGCTGCTTCAAGGGAAGATATATAAACTAATAAATGGTGTACAGCTGTTACAAGGAAGTAATACAAAGTAATACATATAGTAATAAATGTTGTACAACTGGCGCGTTACCTGGACATAAAAAGAGGGATGTCTATAGAAGATATTAATAACAAACATGTAACTGAAAAAGTGTAAGTACTGAGCAACCATGTTACAGTGAGCTCCAAGGTCGAACCTCACTGTATGACTTTCTCATGCAACACGTACAATGTATACAATACTACGATACATGTTACATCAGGTAAATAAAAGCGACAAAGCCCTTTTCACATTCATAAGAAATGTCTGGTAAAAGCAGAGCCGATTGTACAATTGTGGCTATATCATGGGCATATATTTGTTTCAGCAGTATTACAGCTGTACGATGCTGTTTGTAGACAAACACGTCGAGTATCACGGTATCACGATTCCACAATACTCATACATTCAATACACTGCCGCTATACAAGTGAGTGAGTAATGTTTTACGCCGCTTTTAGCAATATTCCAGCAACATCACGGCGGGGGACACCAGAAATGGGCTTCACACATTGTACCCATGTGGGAATCGAACCCGGGTCTTCGGCGTGACGAGCGAACGCTTTAACCATTAGGCTACCCCAGCCACTATACAAACTACATTTGGCACTGTTTGTGTGAGTTAGTGCGAAGAGGTCAAATGATGATTTATTGGAAGAGTAAACTTTGCGGTCAATCAATAATCCAGTAATTATCTACATCGATCTACACAATGGGGACATGTACCGACCTCGTCATCTTGCGACAAGCTTGGGCTGATGAAGATGAATTCTAGAAGCTATCTATGCGGAGTGTTGAATCATAATTTGGTGGAAGAGTTGACGTGATGTCATCATGACGTCAAGTTTGACGTCAGAATGAATCAAGAACTAGTTATAAAAATCTCAATCTGGGAAGAACATCATGGTTAGAGGATGAATTACGCGAGTCACAGAACATGGCAGCTTCGAAGGCAATCAAGTAGCACACCAACCATGAAGGCCGTGGGGAGGAACTATTTCAAAGGCACATGTATCCACATGTGTTAACGGTATTTGAACATGTCCTCATCACGTCACTCATTTTGAATACTAAAGTAGCAATCTAAAGTAGCAGCTCAGTAGCAGCTCAGAGGCAGCTTTTGAAGAAAGTCTCATTTTGTCGTCAGAGCGGCGTAATATTCCTTAACACGTGCTACTTACTAAACCACATGGTTAACGTTGCTCCACTTTTATCTTACTCTCTTTGAATGTATCTAAAAACAGCGATAGATGGAATAATTGATGTTTGTTGGTCTGCAGCTGACCTCTCTCGGTGTCTGATCACAGGTTTTCCAGTATGTTACCGTCTATTATGTAGCTCAGTGAGAGTGGGTCGGGTGTTAATGTCAACGCAATATGTAAGGAAAACCCGAGGTGATGCAGTCTCAGATGCTTACCACTGAATTCCATGATCACGTTTATGATGCTCAGAATCCTAGAAATATGGTTGAGGCGAACCATAGATTTCTGGTGTGACCTGGCTAACTGATTCTGCACAGCTGACTGCGGCGCCCGAGACTGTACCAAGAATCCTAAATGATCACAGACAGAATGACTCTTGTTCATTGACTCCTCTTAGACAGCATGGTTCCAGTTGACTGACCCGCGCCATAGGAGAGTTCTCTTTCATTGACCACTTTGGTTCCAGTCCAAGAGTGAAAACATCGTATATGCAAATGGAATATATAGGACTTTCATTTCAATAAGATTCCCTAAAACTGTATTATGTTGGTGTCGGCTTTTCTTCTCGATAGATACTGCTAGGGAACATTGCTATTAAGCGCCACTCTATATCACCTTCAAATACGGCAGTAATTGCAGAACATCAACAAAGCACGGGTAGGTATGTATGACAGACCCACGGTATTATATCCACAATAGGTTCACCTTACTGAAAACCGAGTGCAAGTCCCATCGTAGCTATCAATCAGTCTCACTGACGTCATTGCTAAATAAATGACATTAAACTTGAGTGGATAGACTTTCAGGCATTTGGAACTTTTTGACGTCAGCTGAAACAATTTGTCTAAAGATGATAAAGCACTTGCAACTTAGATGCCAGCTTCAACTGTAGCCATAAAACGTATGTCTGTTGTATTTACACAATGTGAACACGGGTATAACTGCAACAAGGCGCCATGGCCCTGTGACTTTGTTTATTTTATTAGAGCAGGGATATAACTTCAGCTTGTAACTTTGTTATATTGCATGGATTGAGGGGTATATATGGGCCTCTCATCGCCTCTGTTATCTTACATACTGGGGCAACAAAACAACATAATCCTTTCATTTTCTCGCTTATATTACATACTACAGCAGGAATGTAAGTGCAGCAAGGCACCATGGCCCAGCGGCTTTCTCTGTTTTTACATACTAGGGCAGGTATGTAGCTATAGCAATGCAACATGACCTGTAACTTTGTTATATTACATACCAGGGAGTGAGTGAGTGAGTTTAGTTTTACGTCGCACTCAGCAATATTCCAGCTATATGGCGGCTGTCTGTAAATAATCGAGTCTGGACCAGACAATGCAGTGATCAACAGCATGAGCATCGATCTACGCAATTGGGAACCGATGACATGTGTCAACGAAGTCAGCGAGTCTGACCACCCGATCCCGTTTGTCGCCTCTCACGAAAAGCATGGGTTACTGAAGATCAATACTCTAACCCGGATCTTCACGGGTCGCATACCAGGGAA